ATATTATATATAATGTAGTTTAAAATCTTTAAAAAATCACAATTCCTAATTGACGAAATGCGGGTACCTATATTATATTACAGACTTATATAGCGATATATGTCGATAATTCATGTTATTTCTTGAGATTTATTTTTATTAAATTAATTTTCGTGTCGATAAATTTAATGTACTACTACTTGATATTTTTAGTTTTTATATTAATTATAATTTATAGTCATTGTCCATTGTACTTGTACCTATATGGCTATATGAAACAATTCATTAAGGCATGTTTAATTATTCAATACCTACAATAATTTCATTCGTCTCCTTTATAAAATATATGATCCTATGGTAATATCGTTTAATTACTAAAAAAAAAAAAATATATATATATATAGGTATTCCACTATTTATACCTTTATTATATAATGATATAGTATACGCCATAATATATTATATACCTACCTACTTCATATTATATTATAATATATTGATATAGTCCATGTACTATCTCACAGTTTATAAATCATTAAATTATAGCTCATTCTATGGTGCAAGAGTCATAAGTTTTGATAAATGTGATTTTTATAGCATCAGATTGCAACCTTAACGTATTTAGTTCAATATAAGTGCATGTTCAATGGGCAGTCATCGCTCCTCATCTTCAAATCTGACCAATCCACTATATCTGTACATTCTACCCTACCCTTATTTGCACTTATGTCGACTGCAAATAGCTTAGGTATAATAGGTAGTATATTATAATACATAGGTAGTATATTATAATACATAGGTAGTCAGTATACCCCGATACTAATGTTTACACATTCACGAATATCTCACCCTCCTTATTATTGGACGATAGTACCTACAGGCTACAAGACATCGGGTGTGAAAATAAATGAATCAATATATTATCTTATTCATAATGACCCGCACCATCCATTAAAAAATCCTGGGTATACCACTGCATTAACGCAGCTTGCTCCTTTCCAGCTTCTATAACAATTGCATAAATCCTTATAAAATAAAATGACTTTCATCAGCAAATACCTATAAATGTTGAAGTACAGGTGATAGAGATGAACTTCTATTTGTCTTATGTTTAATAGAATCACCGATCATATGCAAAAGTATCATAAATGTTTCCTTCGACAATCTATTAACAGCAAATGACACAATTTATTAAAAACTGTTAAAATCAGCAGAATGAAAACAACAGACATAAAAAAATTCTAACCTAAAGCGACACTTGAAGTCCAAGTCGTCATAGTCCTGCAACGGATTTGACCTATCCTTAAACCGCCTTGGTCTTGGAAGATTTATTAAAATTTGAAGAATAATATCTTCATCGGAATCATCAGATGAGGATGACGAAGACATAACAATTAATTATTTAAATTTAAAATGTTTTGAAACAATAAACAATATGGAATTCGATAAAATTAATAATTGTTGAAAATAAATAAATAATAATTTTAAGTGATAATAAATTTTAAATTAAATGATAAGGAATCTTTTAAACGGTTCTGCAAATTTTACAGATCCGAATTCGGACCTATAACTTATCGAACCGATAACGGTTTATTGGTTTTTTATTTATCAATTTTACAGAACGGTTTTATTTTTACAGAACCGATAACGACTTATCGGTTCAGTAAATGTTCATGCAACCCGGCAATAGTATATCAAATATATTATATAGGTTGCCCATTAATCCCTAAAAAGGCAATGATATCGATACCCGATTACCAAATAGTAAGTATCTAATAGTTAGTTCCCATAAGCGTGAAAGTCCACAAATAAATACTCATACCATACTATAACCTTAAAAATGTTTATAACTAGGACTCAGAAGTTGATGTATTTTGCATTTTTTGTCGGAACTTTTTAGACGATGCTCTCCTGGCCACAAATGTGTTTCATTAGCATCTGAATATGAACAACTAATTTTAATTTTGCATATTTTTGTATTTTTTGTGTTAATTACTTTTTAAGTCATTTTTGACATTTTTAGGTCATTTTCCCACATTTTTAGTCATTTTTACTGATTTCACACTAGATCACTTCTTATCATTTCTCGTCTATGCCGATAACTTAGAACTTGGAAACTACCACGGACTAAGATTAGTATCTATCCGATTTTATCTCACCGATTACATTTGTCATTTTTGTGTTATAGTAAATAATATTGTACCTACATTTTATTATTTTTTCGTAATATTTTCGAAATGCCAACAATTAAAACGTCGGTAAGTACTCGTCTGCGTGCATATAAATATTTATTAACAGATAATCGTCGTTCATTTACTTTTGATAACATCAAAAACGCTCAAATCATACAATGCAATGATTTTTAAGTAATTTTTAATGTTTGATCAATTTATAAAACAAATATTTTTTATTTTTAATTTTATTTTTAAGGACATTATCTGTCATTTCGTTGTCATATTTTGAGCAATTTGTAAGCTTTGATAAATGTATATAGAATTGTATAGTAAAATAGAGTAAAATATTTAAAAAAATGTATACAAATATTTGTAATTTTTTAAGGACATTTTTTGCTATTTTTATGTCATATTTGCAATTTTTGATGTTTTAAAGGTCATCAACTTCCGAGCCCTAATGATAACAATTATTATTATTGTTTCTTATTAGAAAATAATATAGATTTTTCTTAAAAAAATATATATATTTTTATAAATACGTGTTAATTGAAAATTAAATAGTTTCATAATTCTTGTCATACAGGTAATCAAGCCTTAATCATTATCATTCTAAGTACCTATTATTGGGGTACCTATCTTTACATAGGTACCTAAATTTAATTTTTCCGAAAAAGTGTTATTTTAGGGATTTGTTCATAAGAACTCTAAAAAAAGGGTCTACAGCCTACTTAAGTAGATCTATGTATTATAGACCTCTACCTATACATACATCATATAAAATAGTATAATGTACCTACCTATAAAATTATATTGTACCTCGAAGTTTTACATATTTACCGATATGATGTATACGAAATACGTTCTATAACAGATTTCTGCATAATTTATCTATAGGGCTACCTATACCGTGCAAAAGGATAGGTAACAACTATTGAGAAATACCTACGATTTATCATGTTACATCGTATTATAATGTTTATTCTTATTTTCATAATACACATGTGTGCTGGTTTTTTATGAAACCGAATTTCAAGACTGATGGTTTTTAGAATAATTAATAATACACATTTTGTAAAATCTCCCTTCATAAATTGTTTCAAACTTAAGAGTTAGGACTCTGTCATAGTGCAGCTAACAAAGTTTAACTACAGTACCTATGATTTATATTGTGGTAATTATTGCATTTCATGTAAAATATGTAGTACCTATATAAATATGCGAAATATTAAACGATGTCTACATAAATATATTTACATAATTGTGTATAGAAACTTAAATCAGCTTAAATATTTAAATTTATAATTATTCTTATATTTTTTAAATTGACTAATATACCTCTATACCTATAGGTATATATAGTACCTATACTTTTATATAGACTATATTTTTTGCATTTTTTATGAAAAACCAGGTAATTTGTGTGAATTGTAGGGAAGGTTATAAGAAATAAAAATAATTAATAATCAAATAATTATCATTCAAGAACATTTTATCTAATTGAATAATTTGTATTTTAGAACTTTTCGTCTGACTTTTTCAAATTTGCCGCGTTGATCGATTATACCTATACCAAAACAAACTATAATTATTGTAATATATTGAAAAATAAAAACAATAGGTAGAAGAAATTTTTTAACAGATATAATAATATATTAATATAATTGAAAAATATAAAAACAATCTAATAAGATGTGGCTGGAATTAGTTGACAAATAATTAGTTCCTATTATACGTACATTTATATAGGTAACGTATTATTTACAAATAATAATGCTTCTATTGTCAATTCTTCATCATAATATTATTTATATTATTACCAATTTCTGTACACAATTTACTGTTGTAATTTTATATTTTTTTCTCGCTGCAGGTTACATTTCGTTTAGTGTTACTTTTGCCATAGGTACCTGTCAACCCTATTTTTTTTACCAAAATTTTACGATCAGCTTCCATATATTGTTAAAACCTTTAATCGTTATATACAATATTTTATACAAGAAAGTTAAAATAAATTAAATATAATATATTTTAATCAATCTTTCGAGTTGAATAATTTACATTTTTGATCTTTTGATTTATCCGACGGTAAAAAATGAGCCCGGGATTTTTCGTCCGGGACTCGTTTCTTTCTATCTAATTACAATTTCACCAAGACTTATAGGATTATAAAGTAAAACAAGTGAAAACCCGCGGGGTATTGGGTTATAACTTATAATATATAATGAATATAAATATTTTATATGATTATAAAGGTTAAGCGGTCTCGCCTCATTGCCGTAACTCGAATAAAATTTGGTTGTTATTATGGTTTTTGTTATGTACTTAAATGTGTCACACGCGATTTAGATGTGCCAGCTGAGCTGTGCGCGCAGGAGATTGAAAACAAAAACGTCCTTCAAACGAATTTCAAATATAATTTAAAAATTGGAAAACGGACGGAAATTCAGAGAAACGTGTCAGTGGATACGCCGCCGCGTTGCAGGTACGTGTTGTATCCTTAATAGGTATAATACAACAAGGCGGCAGGTACCTCTGTAGGCTACAATGGGCTTACCGAGAAATCGGCGGCGGCGCACTGTCAGGTCGTTCCGCGGACGGCAAACAACAAAAAACGGAAACGAAAAACGCGAGGGCCCGGGCCGCCGCCGTCGGCGTCGCTTGCGTTTGACGGCGGCGGACATATTAATTCGTACGCGGACCCGCTGTGGGCCGCGACCGCCGGGGCGCCGGTCGCGCCGCGATTGGCCGGCGCGCGGCCCGGCGGGAGTGGCCCGAGCACGCCCGTCACGTCCCGCCGCCGCCGCCCCCGACGGTCCCCGCACACGAATGCCGACTGCGCGCCACGCACGACCGCACCTCATCAGTCGTAATCGATCGCGTGTCTAAATAATATTAAGTACACACTTACACGCACGCACACACACACACACACTCGAACGCGTAACAATATTATAATATCAACGCTTACACGTACAGGTACGTACGACGCACACGCACGCATTCGCCCGTCACACCTCGAAATATAAGTCTGCTGTTGTATTATTATTATTTTTTTTTTTCATCTTTCTCTTAATATTATTACGCACACACAATTAATATTGTAATATTTTATTGTATCGTACGCTCTCGAGACTCGCGCAGCACACGCACTCGACGACGGTTGTGCGAATCCGTTTTGTTAAATTTACGCGACACCTAATACCGTTAACCTAATACCGGGTTACGCGACGGTGTATGTAATACTATTATAATGCACGCATTAACTAAATAAAATAATACTTATTCTATCTGTGTACGCGAGTGTAAATATGCGCGTGGATACAGCTGTAGTGCCGATGCATCAGTTCGTTTTCGCATTGTTCGTTCGTTGAGCAATAATATAATATTACGTCGGAATAAGCACGCTCACACATCGTTATAAAACTGTAAAATAATGTTCGCCGAGACTCGCTAAAGACCGCACGGGCGACGTGATGCTCGCTTTCGTCAATTTTCGTAATAAAGGTACGTCGTCGGTAACGCGCATCATGCATCCATAATTATATATCATAGTATCATCTACATCATCTTCATCTGATGGGACCACCTGTAGCTGTAATCGCCGCTGTAATTATCGAATAACGATTATACGTGTATCTATAGCTTCTACAGGAAATTGCAATATAATATTATTTTACAAACGTCGTGAACGATAATATTATATAGAAGACAGCAGCAGGTGAAGAAAATGCGGCGGCCGTGAAAAACCGCTGCAGCCGACGAAAAATGAACGAATCGGTGACCGTGTGCAGCAGACAACAGGGCCCGTCGTATCACCACCACGGTCATCACGTCGTAGTCATGCCGGCCCAGTGCAACGGCGACGAATGCGCGGCCGAACCACAACCAGCCACCGTGGCCGGTTCGTGGACGGCATACGGTCATCAGCCAGCGGCGGTGGTCGCCGGTTACCATCAACATCACCACCACCACCATCTGCAACAGCAGCAGCAGCAACAACATCAACAGCAGCAGCAGCAGCAGCAGCAACAGGACCATCACCTCCATCATCCGCATCAAGGAATGGCCGCGGTGCCACCGCCGCCGCAGTCGTTGATGCACCAGCACCATCACCATCAACCGGCGGACGGTGGCGGTTACGCCGCGTGGCCGACCGCGGTGGTGTACAACAAGAGGCGTCCGTCGTATGCGGACGACGTGCAAGCGTACCATCACGCGCACCACCACGCACCTCCGCCTCCACCGCCGCCGCCACACCATCAACCGGCCGGCGCCGCGGCCACCTTGCAAGCCGTTGCGGCCTACAACCCGGCGGTCGTGACGGCCTCGACGGCCACGTGCTCGTCACCCGGAACGTCGTTGGACGAACCGTCGTCTGCGGCCGCTGCGGCGGCAGCTGCTTACCAGACGGCCAACGACTACAAGTACTGGCCACCCGTACAGCAGCAACCGTCGCCCACCGGCACAGGACGCATGAGCCCGTATGGTTGGATGAAGAGAGTCGAGTATCAAGACCGTCCACAACCGGGTTCGTAAAATATATCAATAATTAGTATATTATACATTATTATTCAATTAAAGCAAAATAAGTTTTTCCCGCCAAAATCGAACGAGTTTTCCCATTCACACGACGTTTTCAATTTATTTAGATATTATTTACATTACACCGGATATCATTAAGTCTTTATGAATTCGAATATTCCAATTTATAGATTTCCCGTGAGATACCTATTTAACAATTTTCAGTTTAATTATAATTATTCGTTCGCCGAGTCGTATATAATACAATGTATTATTTAGACTATACGTATACTAGATAGGTACTACTGTTTTTGGAGTATATTATTTTTTCATTGTAACACCACCACGTGGGGGCTGAATTGTTTGCAAACTGCTAGGCCCCCTGCAGCATAATACATTGTATAAAAGTCATGTTTGGGTGTACCTAACCTATATAATATAATATTGAATAATATCCATGTACTATAATTTATTAGCAAATGCAATAAATTATTATCCGGATTATAAACATGTCTTTATATGCCACGGAATTCTAAATAAATGTAGGGGAATTTGTTTTACAGATAAAATTGTTAAATATTAAAAGTTGAAGTTAATGCGTGATTTTCTAAAATTCTTAAAGCTGTAATACAAATTAAATTATTTCTCATAATTTATTTAGTACTTAAATATAATTTATTTTTTAAGTACAAATATGTTAAAAAATATTATTTTTTAACATAATATATTGTCTCTATTGTCTTGGAAATTAAATTATACTTTGGTTGTAACGATATTTGATAGGTGTATACAATTATGTAAACCAGTCACCAGTTACATGGGTATTTGATAATTCTACATTTCTATTTTTTTGGTTCCATAAGTGAGGAGTGTCCATGATCTCATTTTGTGTAGAAAAACTTGTCATGTTATTTTACAAGTACCTACTAAAGGGCGTGAATTTTGATAATGATCTTAAATGTTTATACAAATACAATAAAGATTTTTAAAATACAAGCACTACACTAAAATCATACTTTTGAATGTAGATCATTCACTTATAGCTACAACTATTATTATAGTTACGGCGAATTTTTTTTTTTGGTGGGCAGGGAGAAATATTAAATACCTCAATTTAAAATCTTTAAAATTTATAAAAGTCTATTATAGCATTAGTAACTAAATATTAAATGACAAAAATATTAACGTTACACTATGTATTCAATATTTTTTATTTATTAGGTACCTACTACCTAGTTACTATTCAATTTACATACTTATTATATTCAGTCACTTCTTTTATGCTTACAACTTTCAATATTAAACACACTAAAATAATTTATTATAATGCAAAATCCAAAATTGCTGTATCCGTATATGATTGAAATAGATAACAACACGATGAGATTAATGCTTGAAAACGTCGATAAAATAGTTATTGATAACGTCCTATAATGATGTTATTAAGTCGATAAGTTTATCTTAAATCGTGCTGAATATTCTGGAGTAAGTGTGCTGGGAGCGTTCTCGTGAATACAAACATTTAACGGATTTTCCATTGCACTAAAGTAAATTAAATGAGAAATGTATGCTTATATTATAAACTATTACATGATATTTTACAATAGGAAATTATGATATATTTTATCATGCTTAATTTTCATTCGAAAAATCGGGATCCTACGATTAATAATTACTTATATAGTCAACTATATTATACATTATACAATACACTTATCACTAATGTATTATATGGGCTATGGGTTTTATTGCGAACATCAGTGAAACACACATGACCGTAGTTAGAAGTTTTTCAGGGGACGGCGTTGTATTGTACATGGTGTGTTTAAAATTGCGTGAAAAATCTCGGAACTTCTTGTCTAAATAAATTTGTATAAAACTTTATGAATTATAGGCGATTATATTATACACCTACCTTGGTATATTATTGGCGTGTGTGTGAGTCTTCGTGACTTGACATAAGTATACTCATGCATATTAATTATTAATTGGCTCACTAGATAATATTATGAAATATTAAAGAGTTATTGTAAACGAGTGTTGCGCGTGTAGATTGTATGTGTACCGCGTGCATAATGGGTAAATATACAGATTGGTTTATCAGATATCTATTCATTTTGGGGGCAAAAAACAGTATCTTTTCGTTTAACACAATTTTATTCTATCTTAAAGCTATGTTTCAAACAAAACAAATATTGTTTGTGTTATCAACAACATTTATTCTTATTTTTGGTCTAAGGTATTTTACCATTAGATACAATTTAAAACAGAATTACCTACCTATACATAGATATTTATTCTTATCATTATGACCACAAAGCAATAAATATAAACAAAACTATAATATACAATTCAAATTATTGTTAACATTCTTACGCACCTAATATGAACTTTTCATGATTTCAAAAGATATCCACCCAAATGTTTCAATATTTTTTGAAAATATTTTTATAATATGAGGGTATCTGCTTTTAGTATTCTTAGATTTGAAATTGAATTTTTAGAAGATATAAATAGATTAAGTATTGTAGTTATAATACCGTTACATCACATTATGTGGAAAAAGAATACAATTTTGAAAATATCGTGAAATGTGAATACGATTTCCATAATTTTATATTTTGCCGAGTTCAATATAGTATGGCATTATGTATGGATGAAAATATTTTAATATACCGAATTCTGAACATTGAAATATGAATAGTAATAAAATATAAATAATATATTATGTCACATTGAAAATGGGTCGTTAACTTTTTAGAGTCTGTTAAAAATACTATACTTGATGGGTCGATATACCTTGCCTATCCGGAACTGTACGTTCAACGTTATTTTTCGGCTTTTATATTGCATGGTACAGATGTATAGGAAATACCTGCAAAAGGCCATCAGTTGACCTGCTAGTGGCGTGGTGAACATTAATTATAAACCATGATGCACCGCATATATTTCAGTACCTACAGCCTTAAATCTTAATATGATATATAGGGAATAAATTATTATGTGACAGTAAATATTTTAATTTTTGTTTTATGTTATTAGTTAACATAATGTATCCAACTACCCCCACCCCCAAAAAATGTCATCAAGGCATCATAAAACCCTGTCCACCACGCTACTAGACACTGGAGACTTCATGAATTCTTTAAATGGCCCTTTAATTAAATTATATATGTTCCCTCGGATAATATAAATAGGGACTTATTGGTCTAAAATTACCTCCTATATTCATATAGATGCTCTGCGAACCCCCACAAATCTCCAGCATATCCCAGACCACGGCTGTATCGAAGACATGATTTTAGGTATCCTAAACATTATTTTTGGACAGTAGAAAAAAAATCCTCAGTTTAAGTCCTACAGACGGATTCGTGATTTTTATCGAGGAAATGGGAATGAAATTATAATGTCACGGGTGAGCTCACTCGTTTAACTGCCCGTTTAACGACAGACGGCGGTGCCGCCTCGCCCATCGGATGGCTCCGGAATTGCCGACATTTTTTTTGCCGTCCCTGACTAAATCCTTTTAGTCTCGATATTTTTTTTTCCTAGTACTGCAACCAGGACGCAGTGGACAATAATTTATAATGCGAGTCTTCAACATGCGACTGTATATTATACAGAAATTTAATACATCGTATATTATACCTTATGCGTATTACATTATCGTGTTTATATATAATATATACATTTAACACATTATTTAACATTAACTGTCGACGACGACACCCAAATAAGCGGCTTTCAGAAAGCCGCTTTTTCGAAAAGTGAACATCATCATATCTTAGCGGTGATGCACGCACATGCGTTTTGATCGTTATTATTACTGCAATATAATGTGGTAGGCCAGGTTATATATATTTTATGCGCGCCGACATGATAACAAAATAATAATATTATAATATCAAATAGTTTGGAAAAACGTGCGTGTATTGTAATGCAATTTATATGGCACTTATTGTGTTCGAATATGTATACCTACCTACCCATATTTTAATGCTATATTAGAATAACTACTAAAGCTTAAGTAACGAAATAACTTTACGTCTAAGGTTCGTAAAACTGTATAGGTACTCCCACATATTATTATAATGTTTAATAGAGGTACGGATTTCGGAAAAATTATTTTACCTGAGATTTTACAAACCACTGCAGTATTAAAACTGGCTGTGGTCAATTGTATTTCAAACGAAAAATTAACAGATTGTTTGGCCGAGTGAAATTATACTTAGCTGCGTAAGGTAAAAACTTGGTGACTTTTTTGGCGAAGGTTTTTAAAAATAGGGTTCATCATTAATTATTTCTATTATGTATATCGTATATGATATTGTTTGAGTAATTACAAAATTGTTATAAATGTTGACTGTATATTACAATACTACTAGTATATACTACTATAGCCATATCTTTTTTAAAATTAAGAGTTCATTATGTATTTTGTTTGTGACTAGTTTTTCAGCATATGTAATTAATTTACCTATAAGCCTATTTATACTTATTCTTCCGTACGGTATTTTTGTGGAATAAATACCCGCCTAATCGGTATATAACTAATCGTCCAAACAGACCACATTTTGGGTCATCGTAGGTAAGAACACTGAACATTATCTGTGTTCTCTCTTTCATTTTTTATGATTTTTTTAATTTTTAAGTGAACTTTATGAGCATTTTCAGATATCGAACTTTTTGTCCAACTTTTTCAAAAACAGTCTTTTGTCCCCTGATTTTTTTTACCGATTACCATGTTGTACCTACGTGTGTGTGATTTTTAAATTGTGTAATTTATAATATTATATTATATTATCATGTATATTATAGTATTACATTTTACAGAAACCGGATGTGTTGGGTACCCACATCTTACTATTGGAGGCTTAATTTTATTATACACGAGATTTAGGTATACAAGTAAAAAGGAATCACTTTACGTGACCCAAACATCTAATAGTAGGTATACAATTTATTGTAGACACTGGACACCTTATTTAGAGGGTCGCTATCCTCAAT